CACGTGCCTGCAAGTTGGGGAATACGACTAATAGCAGTCATGGGGACTGCAGAAACACAGCACACTGTTCAGATTGATGCAGACATTGACTTGTACCGCAAAGAGACCTCTATCTCACTCATGGTTTGTCTTCTCAAGTGGGGGAAAGACAATGCACAACGTTACCCACTGCTGTCAACCTGGGCCAAGTCATATCTCTGTCCCAGAAACCTCAGTCCCAAATGAGAGGGTTTTTTTCTGTTGCAGGGGACATTGTAAATACCCAGAGATACCAGGTATTACCAGATTATATTTATATGATAATTTTCCTTTAAACCCATCTCTATCTAAGTGAGTGAGTGATTAAATGTTGAATGTGATGAGTTTTCAACAATACTAAATTGAAACTTTATTTTTTTACATGGTTTAATAATTTTTTGTTATTAAAATTGAAGTTCCTGTTTCAAAGCTTACAGATAGATGGCTAATTTGTATGTCATAGACAATTTTGGCAATTTTTTGGAGTATTTTCAAAAGTTTTGTTTTTCCTGTAAATGATTCAATAAATACCGTACCGTGACATTCATACCGAGGTATTACCGTACCGTGAAATTCTGATACCGTTACATCCCTAGTGTAGAATGTTGAGGAAATAAATTAATTTAATCCATTGTGGAATAAGGCTGTAAACATAAACAATGTGGAAGCAGTGAAGCGCTATGAATACTTACAGGATGCACTGTATATAAATTGCGGATATGGACAATTTTACCAGATAGCTTTGTTTCCAAACAGATCTGTTTGGAAAGAACTCAGTAAGATTAATTTGGATGATTCTGTAAAGGAGGGAATCATGCATAAAATAAAATAGACAAAATAAAAGCACTGATAAATGTGAAATAGACAGTGCGTTGTGCTTTTTTGGGGAATCTAACAATATTCAAACACTTGTGTAGTCTTCATTGTAAAAATAATTTATTTAAAAAGTACACAAATGGTAAATTTATCATGCCTGAATGCTTACACCAGGGTCGTCCTGCACAGTTTAGCTCCAACTTCCTTTAACACACCTGCCTGAAAGTTTCTAGCATACCTAGAAAGAGTTTGATTAGCTGTGTCAGGATCATTTAATTGGGGTTGGAACTAAAATATGCACGACACTGGCAATGCAGGACCGAGTTTGGACACCCCTGGCTTACACAGTCACAGGCCCTAAAAACACATACAAATAATAAACTTTCACTCAGTTACGGTAACACTCTGCACTGATTCCACAAATTACATCTGAAATATTTCTCCTGGACAACTACTTGCAGCATAAACTCAACGTTGCACGTCCTGCGAGGTGACTATTGCAGATGCGCACATTGCGATATCGATGCTGAACCAATATATCGTGCAGCACTACATGTTAACCCAGCTTGCCATACTTCATCACATTTAAAAGCATTACTATATTACTTACAGTATTTTTGATAACATAACAATCAGAAAAACAGAAGACTACAAACAATGTCCAATTTTTATCCAAAATTGCATTTCCAAAAGCATCCAGAATGCACCCTACATGAACATCCCCTTAAAAGTAATCACACTAAACAATTCTCCTCCGAGATAATAAACTAATGAGGAGAAGGGATACCATATAAATTGAGATGACATTACTGATATGGGCCATTCATTATCAACTGGCTGCGTCACAAATCCTAGTAAGCCACCTACATAACAGCACCAAGTGCCATATGTAGGCTACTGACCGAATGTGCTGTCTATGTAGGGTGCTCCCTAGATTTCGAGACACACGTGTGGAAGTTTTAAACAGATAAGAGGACTCACACATACTTGTTAATTATAATTCATTATTATTATATTATATTTTATTTATTTATTTTAGCTTTTATCGCCCTAGCCTTATAATATTAATATCATATTTGATCAATTGTGTTGTATCTCTAGTCTAAAGAATGCTAAATAAATAAAATAATCCTATTTGAAAGCTATTTAATACAACCAAAATACATATTAGTCTTTAACCAATACATGCTAGCATCCTACAGCTGTCTGTGTAGACTAGTATGCTAACTTATTTGTTTAAAGTATAATACAAATAAAATACTACATAGCAATCTTTTTAACCAATACACGTTAGTGCAGCTGTCTGTGTAGGGTGCTCGCTAGGATTTGAGACACGGCGGCGGCGTGTGGAAGTGTTAAACAGATAATTGCTGATGCAGTTCACGGATTCACACACGTACTTTGGCCCTGTCGTTTAACAGCAACACTGCGAGCTAAACAGAGCCGGATCTGGTACCTTTAAAACGCGTATTCCGGTTCCCGCTCGGGCTGTCGGTGCGGCGGCTCGGTCAGATCCAGCTCCGTGCAGCACCGGGTTCAGCGCCGCTCCGCTGCCCGCCCGGCCGTCCTCCACATCGGCTGCATTTCTCCGCTCCGTGTCGGCACTCGGGAGCGACCGCGCGGTGCTTTTCTCGTCCTTCATTTCGCCTACATTTGACGTCTCTCAGCACAGAAATCCAGATGTATGATAGCGAGCGGCGAGGGATAAATTCCAGTACAGGAGGCGGTGGAAAAAGCCCATCCTGATTTGATGAGACGCCATAGTGAGACTGAAGGCTCACGGCTGTCAAACAAACTCAATCAATAAACATGAGGGGGGCGGCGCTACTTATTATTCATAGAACACCGCCCATTGATGTGCTTCCGGTGATTAATTATTCATGAGGATCCTTAAAGGAGAAGTTCAACAGAAAACGGAGATTTACTGTTAAATTAAATTAAACTAATGTAATGTTGTTGTTGTTTTTCTCATTTATTTATGCTGTTGAGTTGCATTATGGGATCTTAATCTTTCCTTTAACAACTTTTGATGTTGAAAAGTTTAAAAAAGTGACTTTTATTAACATTTTTAATAGTAAGCGATGAATTGATTGGGTCGGCGCTACTTAATATTCATAGAACACGCACATTGATGTGCTTCCGGTGATGAATTATTCATGAGGATACTTAAAAGGGTTGTTCAGCCAAATAACAGAGATTTACTTTTAATTTACTCACCATCAGTACAGTTTGTTGTTTTGTCTTCATTTATTCATGCTTTTGAGTTGCATTATGGGATCTTGATCTTTCATTCAACAACTTTTGATGTTGAAAAGTTTAAAAAAGTGACTTTTATTAACATTTTTAATAGTAAGGATAAATTGATTGGGTCGGCGCTACTTAATATTCATAGAACACGCACATTGATGTGCTTCCGGTGATGAATTATTCATGAGGATACTTAAAAGGGTTGTTCAGCCAAATAACAGAGATTTACTTTTAATTTACTCACCATCAGTACAGTTTGTTGTTTTGTCTTCATTTATTCATGCTTTTGAGTTGCATTATGGGATCTTGATCTTTCATTCAACAACTTTTGATGTTGAAAGTTTGGAAAAGGAGACTTTTAATAACATTTTTTTATAGTTTGAGCGATAAATTGTTTGGGATAGCACAATTTAATATTCATAGAACACACCAACTGATGTGCTTACGGTGATGAATCATTCATGAGGATGCCTAAAGGGGTATTTCAGCCAAATAATGGAGATTTACCGTTCATTTACTCACCTTCAGTACACTGTAAACATCCATAAATCAACTAATTAGTAAACTAATGTAATGTTTTTGTTGTTTTGTCTTTATTTTATTTATGTTTTTGAGTTTCATTAAGGGATCTTGATCTTTCCTCCAACAGCGTTTGATGTTGAAAAGTTTGAAAAAGTGACCTTTATAGACATTTGTTTTACTTTAAGGGTGATAAATTGATTGGGTTGGCGCTATTTAATATTCATAGAACACACCAACTGATGAATTATTCATGAGGATGCTTAAAGGGTAGTTCAGCCAAATAACAGAGATTTACTGCTAATTTACTCACCATCAGTACACTGTAAACATTTGTAAATCAACTAACTAGTAAAGTAATGTAATATTTTTATTTATTTATGCTTTTGAGTTGCATTATGGGATCTTGATCTTTCCTCCAGCAACTTTTGATGTCGAAAAGTTTGTAAAAAGTGACTTTTATTGACATTTGTAATAGTTTGAGTGATAAACTGATTGGGTTGGCACTACTTATTGTTCATAGGACACACCTATTGATGTGCTTCCAGTGATTAATTATTGAGAATCCTTAAAGGGCTGGTTCATCAGATGAGATTTACTGTTAATTTACTCACCCTCAGTACACTGTAAACTTCCATAAATCAACTAATTAGTAAACTAATGTAATGTTTTTTATTTATTTATGTTTTTGAGTTGCATTATGGGATCTTTATCTTTCCTCCAGCAACTTTTGATGTTGAAACATTTTAAAAAGTGACTTTTATTGACATTTTTAATAGTTTGAATTGATAAATTGCTTGAGTTTGGCGCTACTTATTATTCATAGACCAATGCCAATCACTGAGCTCCGGTGTTGAATTATTCGTGAGGATGCTTAAAGGGATAGTTCAGCAGATAACAGAGATTTACTGTTAATTTACTCACCATCAGTACACTGTACACTTCGGTAAATCAACTAATTAGTTAACTAATGTTATGTTTTTTATTTATTTATGCTTTTGAGTTGCATTATAGGATCTTGATCTTTTTGACATTTTTAATAGTTTAAAACAATAAATTGTTTGTGTTTGGCACTACTTAATATTCATAGACCATTGCCAATCGTGCTTCAGGTGATGAATTATTCATGAGGATAATTAAAGGAGTAGTTTAACCAAATAACAAAGATTTACTGCTAATTTACTCACCATCGGTACACTGTAAACTTCCGTAAATCAACTAACTAGGAAAATAATGTAATAATTATTGTAATGTAATAATAATGTAAAAATGATAATGTAATTTTTATTTATGCTTTTGAGTTGCATTATGGGATCTTGATCTTTCCTCCAGCAACATTTGATGTTGTAAAGTTTGGAAAAAGTGACTTTTATTGACAGTTTTAATAGTTTAAGGGTGATAAATTGATTGGGTTGGCGCTACTTATTATTCATAGACCATTGCCAATCACTGTGCTTCGTGTGATGAATTATTCATGAGGATCTTTAAAGGGCTGGTTCAGCAGATAACAGAGATTTACTGTTAATTTACTCACCCTCGGTATACTGTAAACTAATTTCTTGTTTCTTTTTCATTTATTTATGCTTTTGACTTGTATTATGGGTGTTTGATCTTTCCTCCAGCAACTTTTGATGTTGAAAAAGAAAAAAACAAAATCTGTAAATTACCAGAAAATGTTAATTTTGGGGTGAACCGTCCCTTTAAGAATCAATATGCTGAATCATATTAAACTGGTTGGCAGCCACAATTTATTACAAATCACATTTTGTCCACAAATCAACACAGGTTGAGCATTAAAGCCCGAAGCTGAGAGCATTTTTATTTTTGTATTGTGACACAGTTCATGAGATAACAATGGGCGTGGCTTGTTTTTTCTACTGCGAGCTGATTGGATGTAAAGTAGGCATTTCATTCTGAACCACCAAATGGTTTTAGAAGAATTACAACCTAACAGACTCCTCCTCCTCCTCCTCACCATTTCTGTTTGTTGTCAAAACTGAGAGTTGGAGGGGGCGTGGTTAAGTATGTTAGCCACGCCCAATACCTCAGACAGACGTAATCTGAGAACTTAACTGAAAACAAACAGGAAGTGCATTTGCAGATTTCAATTATAGATTACAACGATAAACGGTTTTGTTTCTTAATGACATGCACAGATGAACTGTTCACAAAACTAGCAATGTGCGCTAACACAATCAATATGGCTAGTTTTGATTTCACTTGTACTTTACCAGACCCTGCAGAACATGAAAAGCCAAAAAAAAAAAAGATTTGCTTCATGTAATCAATATTTCTTTAGTCCCTATTGTGAGGATCCTGATTAAAAACAGAGAACGACACACACGTCCTTCATCAGCCGCTATTGTTATGAGCCTCGGGTCTGTAAATGTAGTGTGATTTGCAGTCATTCGCTCTTATCAGGAATCACTGACCTCTGTCATCTTAACCTTAATGATTAGCTTTCCTTGCGTAACGTGTTAAACTTTAAACTCCACATACATTTTAACGGGATGCCATAAATCAACACATATCGAGAGATTATTGCGTGACGTTTCGGGGATGAGGTCTGTAGCCAACTTATTGTAAAAATGAAGACTGTTTGGATTTCATAATCAATTACATGAAACTGGACTGAGGAGTTTATGAGTGTTTCTTCCACTGATAGGATTTTAATATCTCCAGGATTGACATCTACACTGTAAAATATGTATTATTATTTCCTTTAGACCTTTAACCTGTTGTAAATTGGGACATTTAAGTTGATTTAAATATTTTTTTTTATAATTATGCAAGTTCTTATGATCGTTTAAATAGAAATTAAGACAATGGGTTTACTCACTTTTTAAAGTAACGTCAACTAATCGTTTGTTTTACAGTGTAATAAACCTAATAATAAATTCTAGATGTTTATTGATGTGGAAGACACATTTTTAAAATAAGAATATACAGTATATGTGTGTTTATATATATATATATATATATATATATATATATATATATATATATATATATATATATATATATATATATATATATATATATATATATGTACACACACATACTGGCCGTTTTATTAGGTACACCTGTCCAACTGCTTGTTAAAAAAGGTGATTTAAGTGACTTTGAACCTAACATGGTTGTTGGTGCCAGACGGGCTGATCTGAGTATTTCAGAAACTGCTGATCTACTGGGATTTTCACACGCAACCATCTCTAGGGTTTACAGAGAAGGGTCCAAAAAAAAAAGAGGAAATATCCAGTGAGCTGCAGTTCTGTGGGCGCAAATGCCTTGATGATGCCAGAGATCAGAGGAGAATGGCCAGTCTGGTTCCAGCTTATAGAAAGGCAACAGTACCTGAAATAAGCACTCAATAAAACCAAGGTCTGCAGAAGAGCATCTCTGAACACACAACACGTCCAACAATGAGGCAGATGAGCTACAGCAGCAGAAGACCACACTGGTTGCCACTCCTGTCAGCTAAGAACAGGAAATAGATGCTAAAATTCGCACAGGCTCACCAAAACTGGCCAATAGAAGATTGAAGAAATGTTGTCTGATCTGATGAGCCTCAATTTCTGCTGCAACATTCGTATGGTCGGGTCAGAATTTGGCATCAACAAAATGAAAGCATGAATCCATCCTGCCTTGTAACAATGGTTCAGGCTGGTGGTGGTGGTTTAATGGTGTGGGGAATATTTTCTTGGCACACTTTGGGCTCGTTATTACCAATTAAGCATTGTGTCAATACCACAGCCTACCTGAGTATTGTTGCTGACCATGTCCATCCCTTTATGACCACAGTGTACTCATCTTCGGATGGTTACTTCCAGCAGGATAACACGCCATGTCATAAATTGTGAATCATCTCAGACTAGTTTCTTGGACATGACAAGGAGTTCACTATAGTCAAACGGCCTCCACAGTCACCAGATTTCAATCCAATAGAGCACCTTTGGGATGTGCTGGAATGGGAAATTCGCATCATGGATGTGCAGCCGACAAATCTGCAGCAACTGCGTGATGCCATCATGTCAATATGGAGCAAAATCTCTGAGGAATATTTCCAGTATCTTGTTGAACCTATGCCACGAAGGATTAAAGGAGTTCTGAAGGCAAAACAGGGTCAAACCTGGTACTAGTAACGTGTAGCTACTAAAGTGGCCTGTGAGTGTATATTATAAAATTCATCCTTCATTTATTTTTACAGGTCACCAGGAATACCACCAGGGGGCGACAGCAGACTAACATGTCCACTGAAAAAGTAAAGCTTAATCTGGATAATTCACAATGTTCACGAATGAAGAAAACCAGCGCTAACTAATATACATGTGTGTGTGTGTGTATATATATATATGGATTAGACCACAGGTGTCAAACTCAGTTCCAAAAGGGCCGCAGCTCTGCACAGTTTAGTTCCAACCCTAATTAAACACACCTGATCAAACTAATTGAGTCCTTCAGGCTTGTTTGAAACCTACAGGTAAGTGTGTTGGAGCAGGGTTGGAACTAAACTGGGCAAGGCTTCGGCCCTCCAGGGATTGAGTTTGACACCCCTGGATTAGACCATTACCATCTGCCTAAAAGAATACAGACTATAGTTACATATTATTGGAAATAGGCTCATTTTACAGCTCCAATAGAGTTAAACAGTTGAGTTTTACCAATTGTCAAACAATTCAGCCAATCTCCAGGTCTGGTTTAAGCACTTTTAGCTTAGCTTAGCATAAATCATTGAATCGGATTAGACCATTAGCATCTACCTTAAAAAAAAAAAAAAAAAAAACAGACTTTTGTTACATATTCTTGGAAATAGGCTCATCTTACAGCTCCTATAGAGTTAAACAGTTGAGTTTTACCAATTGTGAATTCATACAGCCAATCTCCCGATCTGGTTTAAGCACTTTTAGCTTAGCATAAACCATTGAATCAGATTACACTGTTAGCATCTAATAAAAAATACAGACTTTAGTTACATATTGTTGGAAATAAGCAAGTTTTAAGGCTCCTATAGAGTTGAACAGTTTTACCAATTGTCAATCAATTCAGCCAATATTTGAGTCTGGTTTGAGCACTTTTAGCTTAGCATAAATCATTCAATCGGATTAGACCATTAGCTTCTAGAAGAACTCACATCCGTGTCCACCATACAACCACACGTCTATACTTGAAACACCAAGCAAAATCAGGATAGTGTGTACAGCACACCCCTAACCGAACGTCATAGGTCTTCAAATGGGATTTTTATTTGATTTGATCTTTTTGATGCGTTTTACAATTATATACAATATACAGGCAGCACATAGTACATTATCTTTCCAATAAACAATCAATCAATCAATCAATCAATCAAACAGGTACGTTAGACTATTTTCCGAGGGGAAAGCTTCGAACATTATACACTGTGCAGTACTGAAAGGAAGTCTTAGAAAATGGGATCTTAAAAAGGGACGATGATGCATCTTAAAAGCCCTCAATATGTACAGAAAAAAAAAGCCAAGAAATCAAAAGGATCGCAAAACAAAGGGACAGACAGATTCTAACAGAATGAAGTCGTTTCGTTTTCCTCCATATACATAACATTGCTAAAAAATATTTCCCAAGGCCCAATATCTCTTGATTTTGGTCACCAGACTTCAGTGTGGCAGAGCGAATGTGATCACGCCAACAACAACAAAAAAAAGTGATCGAGAAAACGAAGAGCAGCGAGAGATGAGGGTACAGACGCCAAAGAGAGCATTTCGGTGACTTGATGAAACAGTCGTTATTCTCAAAATGAAAAAACGAAGACAATGTGAGGTATATTCAGGTTAATGTTGCGGACTGCCTTTGGAAGCTGCGAGAAGAGACAAACTAACACACAAGACTGAAATGACAGCAAAACAAAAAGATCCTCTACTCGTCAGACGTCACGTTTCTTGCTGTTCCTGTAACCATAACCAATCGTCTCGCATCAGCGGTTATGACAAAGGCACATTGCTTTAAATCAGGCAATATTTCTGTACTTCAAATCACTGCACAAAGTCAAACAAAAGAAAAACAAAAGTCCATTCAGTGCATATAACTACATTCATGAAGGCCTTATATTCATAGTCTACATTTACAGCATTCTACGCAGACTGTGATCTCATTACACATCGCCGGGCCTCTCTATAGGTGTTAATTTAGTGAGAAATCAATTTGAAGATCAAGCTATCACATTTAATAGATCCAGTGGGACCGTGCTAAAAATCAATCTTTAGTGTAGGCTATTTATATTTAATTCTACATAGATGTATTATAATATTTGAAATAAAACAAATAAGAATCAATACAAGAACACACCATCTGTGAAGAGTAGAGGCAAACATAATATTTCATATTAGAGGATTTTTTTGGTGGTGGAAGGGGGGGGGGGGGGGGGGGGTGGAAGGGGGTGCAATGTTGATGCGCAAACAGAAACCAGCAACACTCTTGAAGGAACACTCCACATTTTTTGGAAATAGGCTCATTTTACAGCTCCTTTAGAGCTGAACATTTTAGTTTTACCATTTGTGAATCAATTCAGCCAACCTCCGGGTTTGGTGTAAACACTTTTAGCTTAGCTTAGCATAAATCATTGAATCGGATTAGACCATTAGCATGTACTTCAAAAAATACAGACTATAGTTACATATAGTTGGAAAAGGCTCATTTTATAGCTAACATAAAGTTGAACAGTTTGGTTTTACCATTTGTGAATCACTTCAGCCAATCTTTGGGTTGGGTTAAGTACTTTTAGATTAGCTTAGCTTAGCATAAATCATTGAATTGGATTAGATCGTTAGCATGTACCTCAAAAAATTGATTATACTTGCATATTGTTTGAAAAGGCTCATTTTACAGCTCCTATAGAGTTGAACGGTTTAGTTTTACAAGTTGTGAATCCATTAAGCCAATCTCCAGGTTTGATTTAAGCACTTTTAGCTTAGCTTAGCATAAATCATTGAATCGGTTAGACCATTAGCATTTACTTAAAAAAATGCAGACTATAGTTGCATATAGTTGGAAGAGGCTCATTTGACAACTCCTATATTGTTGAACAGTTTAGTTTTACCATTTGTGAATCAATTCAGCCAATCTCAGAGTCTAGTAGGAGCTCTTATAGCTTAGCATAAATAATTGAATCGGATTAGACCATTAGCATCTACCTAAAAAAATAATAATAATACAGACTATATAGTTACATATTGATAGAAATAAGCTCATTTTACAGCTTTGATAGAGTTAAACAGTTTAGTTTTACTATTTGTGAATCCATTAAGCCAATCTTCAGGTTTGATTTAGCTTTTAGCTTAGCTTAAAATAAATCAATGAATCGGATTAGACCATTAGCATAGTTGGGAAAAGGCTCCTTTTACAGCTCCAATAGTGTCGAACAGTCGAGTTTTACCATTTGTGAATCAATTCAGCCAATCTCAGAGTCTAGTGAAAGCTCTTTTAGCTTAGCATAAATCATTCAATCAGATTAGACCATTAGCATCCACCTCAAATACAGACTAAAGTTACACATATTGTTGGCAAAAGGCTGCAAAAGGCTCATTTTACAGCTCCTATAGTTGAAATGTTTAGTTTTACCATTTGTGAATCAATTCAGCCAATCTTGGAGTCTGGTTTAAATGCTTTTAGCTTAGCATAAGTCATTGATTCGGACTAGACCATTAGCATCTACCTCAAAAAACACAGACGTTTCATGATTTTCCTATTTAAAGCACCATTTGAGAATCAATTCAGCCAACCTCTGGGTTTGATATTAGCAGTTTTGGCTTAGCTTAGCATAAATCACTGAATGAGATTGGACCATTAGCATCTACCTTAAAAAATACAGACATTTCACAATCTTCCTATTTAATGCACCATTTGTGAATCAATTCAGCCAACCTCCGGGTTTGATATAAGCACTTTTAGCTTAGCTTAGCATAAATCGCTGAATCGGATTAGACCATTAGCATCTACCTTAAAAAATACAGAATCCCATTTAAAGCTCAACTCTTCTACAGATGTACTAGGACCAACAAATATCAAAAAGATGCTATTTTCCTAGGAACTAGAACTATATGAGCTAAACAACAGCAAAGTTTCTTGATTATTACGCCATAATAATAGTATAGTTCCTAGCCATATTGGCTTGGAAAATAGCAACTTTTCTTTTTCTGTTGAAATTAGTTAATGCTCAAAACTTTTTTTGACATTGAGGAAGATGCTAACGGTCTAATCCTATTCAATGATTTATGCTAAGCTAAGCTAAAAGTGCTGGATATCTGAACGGATTCAAAAATGGTAAAACTCGACTTTTCAACTCTAGATGATGCCTATTTCCCAAAAAAGTAGAGTGTTTCTTTAAACTCCAATGAAGTTTACCTCAATCCAAGCTGTCTTGCTTTCAAACAACAAGTCGAGGATCGATGTATGTGCTGAACGATCTCCCCTAACTCATGATGCTTCAACACAGTTATGACTGCTGACAGACAATGAGCCAAGCCAGATTCAAATGAGATGCGTGTGTAGCCAAAACACAGCGTGTATCCGGAGCATTCAATCTGGTATACTTTATTACAGGACATTAGATCAACCGTACACGAAAAAAATTTAAGAAATGCCATGTACAATGATAATTTAAGGCGCCGTCACAACCCGCGTTCCTCTTGATTCTGAAATGCTTTAAGGTGCAAATGTTCAGACTTTTGCAATTCATTCAGCATGTTTTTGTTTTGCTTTTTTTATCTTAAAATACACCAAAACCCATTAACAAGATTAAAAACATGAAGAAAATAATAATAAATCAAACAAAAGAGACAAAAATCAACCAAGCAGCTCCTTTGAATAGTGGCCGCGAGTGATGTTTTCTCCATGTACGCGCCAAGGGTGAAACCGGAGTGCACTATATAGTGAGGGTATAAGTGAGAATGCACAACGTTAAGTGCAAGTGTGTGAGTATGGACAATTTTTGCACGAACCCCGAAGCAGAGAGAAAGACAGACGGGGCAAAGTAACCAATGAAAAGATATGTATTGAGATATTAGTGATTTTTTTTTTCTTCATCGTTGTCGCTGTAATCAGCATCATCATGAACATCAGTCTTCATACCATCATCTCAGCGTCAGGAAGATTCCACTGCTTCCCATGCAACCCCAGGGCAGCGATCGGTGGTGATGTCACGGGGGATCATTTCGGGAATGGGGAGGGGACATCTTTCCCATAGTTCCCTTGCCGGGGAGGGGAGGTCTTTAAGATCGAGAAGGGTAGCAAAATCACTGCCAGGACTGAGGGGGGAAGTTGTTGACCTCGGCTAGGTCTTGTACTGGAGAGCCTTTGTGAGTGTATGTCAGCTTGATCCGCATTCGCAACTGTTGCTGTAAATGAGAGAGGAAGTCAGTCAGGCGTGTGCCAAAGCGGAGGATTTTAGATACACAGTTGAGGTATGAATTATTAGCACACCTGTATATTTTCTGTTTAACAGAAAACTTAACCCATTTCTAAACATAATACTTTTAATAACGGATTTCTTTTATCTTTGATATGATGACAGTAAATAATATTTGACTAGACTACTTGACTATTTTTAGTTTACTAGTATTCAGCTTAAAGTGACATTTGAAGGCTTGACTAGGTTAATTAGGCGAGTTAGAGTAATTAGGCAATCATTGTTTCACATTGGTTTCTTCTGTAGACAATCTAAAAAAAATATTTTGCTTAAGATGGCTAATAATTTTGACCTTAATTTTTTAATTTTTTTTTTTTTTATTAATTAAAAACTGCTTTTATTCTAGCCGAAATAAAACAAATCAGACTTTCTCCAGAGGAAAAAATATTATAGGAAATACTGCAAGAAATTTCTTCATCTGTTTATCATAATTTGGGAAATATCCCCACAATAAGGCTAAAAAATTTGACTTCAACTGTATATTTCATATTCTATAATCAATATCAAAGAGATACAGAAAAACAAATGACAGCTTGAAAGCAATACTGTGATCAAATTAAAGCTGCATGCATTTGAGTTGTTTATGACAGGAATACGAAAATACGCAACAAACATTTTGCAAAAAGTTTATTCCTTCATTTACTGCAAATCAGCAAACTAACAAAAACCCAAGTTTATAATGAGAAGGGTTTATAAGTTACTATGACTACATAACAATAGTGGTAATATAAAATAACAATAAATCTAAATTAATTAGGTTTTGTTAATTTTATTGTTACATCAGCAACTCATGGCAATTTCACGGCAAGATCAATATAGATAAAAAAAACATATTACATAATACTACATAAGTCAACAGGAGGTGATTTAAAAAATAAATACACCTAAATTACAAAATAACTTCCATTCGAGTGCTCAGGATGAACATCTTGTCAAGTAGACTGTACAATTTGGCACACTAATAAATAAGTTTTGGAAAATATAAATAAAATCTTTATTAATATTGTTTTGAGTTGCAGTACTATTACTACTAAACAAAATGCTCTATTAATAATACTTCACAGTACAATTATTGAACAAAAACAGACATTAATTCTACAGTTATACAGTAAAATAAATTATTTATGAGCGTCTTCCTTTCAATGAATTATGCAGTCCTCTGACAGACATCAGAGCAATGGGAGGGCGAGGACAATTTTAGATTCACATGCTAAAGTCACACCATGAATTGAGGCCTAAATCAATTCACATTTGTTTTAAACAGTAGTGCTAATCATATTGTTGGTAGGTGTGACACCCCTAGACTAGACTGATTTGATTTGTAAACTCAACAGTGCTGCTCTAAACATGATTAATCAAGCAAGTCCCTGACAATGGGTGCCACTAAAACACTAACTATTCCCTCCAGAGTAAAAATATTCAGTTTCATTGGGTTTAAACAGACTGATCAGACTTCCAGTAATGTCTTACCTTCTGTGGGTTGAGAACCCTGATGACCTGCGTGACACTTCCCTGGTTGAGTGCTGGGACTACATTACTGCTGGGGGACAGAAGCTGCAGCTGGAACGTCTGCAGACACACAGTTACACAATTGCCAGAGCAGAAAGAATAAATTAGAGGCACATGTAAATTCAGTGCATGCATAAGTATAGAATTTGTCAATTTATGTAAATTTCAATTCATTATCATTTAACGGGGTCAATTTATTGTATTATCAATTATTATCAATTGGATTGCTGTTTAAAACTAGTAAAAGGTCTACAGCAAAGGTGTCAATACACAAATTCAGTGTATACATGCATATTACATTTATGTTATGTAAATTCATTAGCATTTTAAAGGTCAATCCATATTGGATTATGTTAATATGTCTTTCAAATGTGTTAAATAATACACGTATAAATTCAGCGCATGCATACATATTTAATTTATATAATGTCAACTCATTAGCATCTGATGGGTCGATCCATATTGGATTGTTTAAAACAGGTGAAATTGAAACACCATTTACCCACATCACATAGTTACCTATATGCAACAAAGAAAATGTCATTTCTAATAATAATTGTGTTTATTATGCAATTAAAAAAAGACTAAAATAGAAAGAAACACTTTGTGAAGTTTATTTATGAAGTAATTTCGGGAGGATCGTATGCTTATGATTGCTTGCAGCCGGTCTCGCATTATCCAATTTAGGATTCACCAATCAGACGATTCCTAAGCCACTATAAATACCCTACGTTCCATATAACAGCCATCTTCGTTTTGAAGAATCCCCCTTCCACCCCTACTCCTCCTCCTTTTCTAGCTAGAGGAGAAGTTAAAAGTGATCTTTTTTGGTTTATTTGAACCCACGAAATGGAGGAAAAACCAGTGGAGGTTTGACAGGACTCAGGAGCAACCGTGTCTGTTTGACGTTTAATACAGAAAGAAATTAGTTTATTATCAACGTTGAGGAGAAATGGCTAATTCCCTTTAAACCCAGGTGAGCAAATATGTACATGTTCTACCCCATTAAAGGCTTCTTTCTCATTATGTAGTTAATAACAAAAGATATACGACGTGTTTATGGTTGTGAGACGTAGTTTGGACGACGTTGTCGGCGATTCTTCCTATAGTAAAGTCACGCAGTGTGAAACCCCCTGTCACCGATCCATCTTGCAGTGTAAACAAAGCAGCGACGAAACGCTAGCCCAGATAGTCATGCAGTGTGAAAACATCTGTGACACGACTACTTTGAAAATCATGCAGTCTGAACTCGGCATTAGACATGTTCCAAGTAAGTAGTTATCTCTTAAGAGCAATCACTATCTGTTCATTAGCAACTACAGCAGGGGAGTTCTCGAGATCTAACTGAGCTCAAACTCCCCTCACCTTGCAAATAGGTGGAAGCACAGGGCTCGAGGATCTTAAGAGCTCAGGGCTCTCTCCCGGGACAGCATGCCAAACAAGCTTTATAATCAATCATCAGCTAAGTGAGAACTCTTGAAATTTTATTTATGAACCACGACCCACTGACAGGTAAAATGTGCTTCTCTCTCTCTCTCTCTCTCTCAGCATTTTAGACATGTATATGAAATAGCCAGTGTAATATATTAACATCAAATTAATAAAATAATCAGCAAATGAGAAATAAAAGACCGTAAAGTTAATAAAAACAAACAATATCTCTAAACATTATCATAATTGCAAGATTAAAATTAGTTTTTCAATCAGGCAAATCAATTGATTAGAAATTACTCATTGTGTACATTTATTTTGCAGCCAGTTTAGACCAATCATTTCGTCTTCTCCACGTATAAAGTCTAAGTCGTTTTGGTTTTATGAATCTATTAATTACTTTTTTTCCTCTGTATCGCAGCTGTGAAACCAGGCGGAAAATAGTCTTTAATAAAAGAGAAAGGCAAAAACCCATACAACTTTTAAAAAAGCGAAAAAAAAAAAGTTGAATCCTGGACATTTTAGGAGATTTAGAAACCTGAGCTGGACAAATTTTTTTGTGTCCCAAAATTGCGCGTCTCTGTGGGTCTGAAGAACACGTAAAACTGACTGCACAACTGTTGACAAGTCTTGCGGGCACAAAACGAAACTGGTAAACAAATGAAGATTTTCCACTACTTAATCGATCGCGGATGTTTGTTTATTTTGAGCAGATAATAAAAGTGCATGCTATTAATAGTAAAAAAAAATTGTGTCACTAAATATACATGGGCAGCCGTTAATGTACCTGCGCAGCTAAAGTCTATGTGTGAGAAACCCTGCAATTATTTGCATCTAATGGGTTAACCTATATTGGATTGTTATATTTAAAGTACTGAAATGTCTATCAAATGTGTTTACACAAATATAAATTCAGTGTATACATATTGAATTTGTCAATTTATGTAATGTCAATTCATTAGCATTTAATCTATATTATTTGTGACTGATTTATAATCTATTCATACTACCATTAGGCCTCTCAGGTCGTCCAACAGGAGACTATTAAATGTTCCTCAGGTTAAACTTTTGCTGCTGCTGCTCCAAAACCTTCCAGTTTCTGTTGTAACAGCCTCTAAATCCATCTCAAAGCCCACCTTTCCTCTTTGGCTTTTAATTATAGTTAGTTGTGATTTGTCAGGGATCATTTTGTGGTGTAATTTGTTGTCCTTGGTGTTAACGTTTCTTTTTTTTTGATTGTACAGCATCTTGGTCTACAATAGTTTTTGTTTCGTTATTTTTATTGGTGCTTTATAAATAAAGATTGTTGTTGTCGTTACTTTTAATTAAAAAAAAAACCTCTGTATAATGAAAATAATCACTGTCTGAAAACTGTAAAAACCAGACAAACCTTTGGTACTGCAGCCTGGAACACAAATTCTGTCATGTCCACCTCTGTGGTGTTGGTGGCGTGGATGGTGATTACCGCTATATTGGGATTGGGGTTGGAGCGTTCAAACGTGAACTCGATTTTCAATCCATTTTTATTGTACGCCGTCATTGGTGGAATGCCTGCAAGAGAAACTCGTGCTAATTGTCTGCGCTAATTTGCAGGAACCATCATGATGAAATTGACTGTAAGCTCACCCGCTCCAATGTCATTGAAGAGGGGCTGTGAAGTGAGACCGTCCAAAAGGAAAGGGGGCTGGGACATGGGCACAGAGGGAGCAGGGGTGGGGGCCGGACCGCCTAAGGGGTGAGAAGCAGCAACATAATGGCGTGAGCAGGGATTCACCCAAAAATGAATCACTGGTAAAGGAAACTCATACTAGTCTGAAATTAGAAAGAGGATATCTAGGGCTTGGCATGATTTGAAGCAGTTCACTAGCATGCCTTTCAATTCAGTGACACAGTCAAATTGACTTGACACTGATTCATTTGGAGATATGTCAGATACAGTTTCTCTCAAGTATATGTACCCTTCTCAACTAATGCAGCATACTGTATGGAACTCTGACTATAATATTAGACATTAAATCTGACTATTTATTTGTATTCAAACATAAAATTGCACATAAAATATGTTTATAAATTAATAATATTAATAACTAAACCTTATTAAGAAAAACTTGAAGATATAATTACCTACTTCAAATATTTTAATTAGTTCTGGGCAACGAATAATTGTATCCAAAATAAAAGTTTGCTTTGACATAATAAATGTATATAATACGCACATTTATTATGTATATGTGATGCACACATACATTAAAAACTAAATAATACATCATATTAAATAATAAATAATACATATATTACTAAATATATTGTCACATAGATATTTAATTGTATATATTATCTGTAGCATATACATCATATCTAAATAAGAAAACAATATTTGCATGCATGTGTGTATTTCTCTATACAAATTGTGATTGTATGTGATTAATCTCAATTAATATTTGCTCAGCACTAACTTTAATGTAAACGTTAAACACTGCTGTCATAAAATACAATTTGTTTTACAATAGATTGATTCAATCACATTAAATATTGAAGAACAGGTTATATAAAAACATTATTAATGTGTAATATACTTAACATATGTAGCAAACAGTTAAATATCAAAAGCTACGGTCATTATTTGGCATTTCTTAGATTACATTTAACATCACGTGACAAAAGCTCCTTTATTTATAGTTTTCGGTGGTTGAAACTGATAGAGGAACTACATAATTGAGACAATGCATTTCAGAAAGCTTTACTGTTATAATATGAAAAATATAATGGAAATGATTTATAATAATAATAATTATAATAATAATGATAAGAAATGATAATGATAATTATGATAATAATTCTAATAATAATATTGATAATAATAAAACGATGATGATGATAATAATAATAATAATAATAATAATAATAATAATAATTCTAATTCGATTAATAATAATAATAATTAAAAAAAAACTACAATAATAATAATAATAAAATAATATTAAAAATAATAATAGTAATAGTTCTAATTCTGATAATAATAATAATAATAATAAAAACAATAATAATGGTAATAATTCTAATAATAATTCTAATAATAATACAAAAACAACAACAACAACAACAATAAAAAAACAAAACAACAACAATGATAATGATGATAATAATAATAATAATAATAATAATAATAATAATAATAATAATAATAGTAAGAATGATAACAACAATGATAATAATGCTAACAATAATAACAATGTTCCAAACAAAATAGCAGAGAACTACAAAATAAAATTCTTTCCTGCTGATAAACAATGTAAATATCGACAGCCAATCAGAATCAATTCAGCTTTTAGAATCTTGAGCATTTAAAGCAGCAGACAGCAACAATATTTGTCGGCTTCTGTTATTTTTTTGTGAAGAATATTCACACACTACCTGAAAACAGCAAATCTACAAGTGAGAAATGACTATTTTTAGCCCAGCAATAAATAACCAGCATTTTCATTTTTGGGTGAACTACTTCTAAGGCTGCATTTACACACTGCATGGTTCAAGTGACTCAATTCAGATTTTTTTTTCTCTCCTATGGCGCAGATCGGACATGGCCTGTGTATGTGTAAGCAGGAACAAAATCACAAGGATTCAGATTTACTCAAATCAGATTCAGGCCTTGTTCATATGTGGAAATTTATCCGATGTGTATTGGATCTGTGCCCTCGTGTCTGCAGTGTTAGCAGGTAAATCGGATTTTCACCGGTCAATGAGAGTTGAATTAAAAACCATAGCGAACGACGTCAAGTCTGATGCTTTCATTTCAGTACAGACTTCAGAAGAGTCCCAAACCTTAAATCTAATACACAAGGACTAAATACACTCTTAGATTGTCATATACACGCAAGTGTTTAATCATATTAACAAGAGAGCGAGAGCAACATCAGACATGTAACCAATATAAACTACTATAAAACTGTTGGATACATCACGTGCATAAATCACACCATGGACATTACATTAAGATGCCTACTGGTTTAAAAAGTTCTAGATTAAAAGAAGATGGCCAACTGAGAACTTTCTGTGGTAAACTATAGTAAAACAACAACTTGTTTTAAAAAATTAGTCTGACTACATTAACAATAGGAATAGAGAAAAGGGCGCTCTTTAATTATCAGTTGTCAGTCAGCGCCCGCTCTTTTTCCTGGTCATTGCATCTTTGCCATGTGCTGTGTAAACACAGAAAATCTAGTACGAGTCACTTTTAAAATATGATGCAAGCAGGTCATCAAAAAAAAAAATCGAATGGAGTCACAGAATCGGAACTGACCATCAAGATCTGCAGTATAAAAGCAGCCTAACACACAACAGTCTGTCAGGGCTCTAAACATGGGGAAGCACATAGGAACAGCAGGATGTGAAGTTGTTAAAAGCAGCAGAAGTGTCCAGAAGACCGACCTGTCAGAGAAAGATCTCCTAGCAGATCCAGCAGTTCTCCTCCAGCTGACGCCGGCTTTGTGGGAGCGGTTGTTTGGATAACAGGTACCACATCATTACCTCCGAGTAGGTCTAATAAATCATTTGCCTGTGAAACGGCAAACAGAAACCATTGGCATAAATATTTCACTGTATCTATTTATCCTTCCTTATCTGCTCAACCATACAGAAGAGGTTTTTTTCATTACTCTGGGTGCTCAATCAATCCATACAGAAGCGAAGCACACCACACATTTTGTACATCTCCTTTATCCAGCACACCTGGTAAAATCAGCTTAGAAACCTTCCTAAAATTCAACGCATCTGCTTCTGCAGCCGGCAGCTAGCTCTTTGCAACTTTCACATGGTTGCCCACTGAAGCCAAGCAGGGCTGTGCCTGGTCAGTACCTGGATGGGAGACCACATGGGAAAGCTAGGTTGTTGCCAGAAGTGATGTTAGTGAGACCTGCAGAAGTGTGCTCAACCTGCGGTGTGTGGGTCCTCACGCCCCAGTATAGTGAAGCGGACTCTATACAGCTTAAGGCTGATTTCTACTTCTGTGTCAAGCGCACATTGGTGCTCTGGCACAGCCTTAGCGTGAACACATAGCCCTTGCTGTGGTGCACCTCTCAATAAATGTAACTACATGTTGCAAAAACGCGTCGCCTAAGCTCTGTGATTGGTCGGTTAGGTAGCGCTGACGAGTGTGGGTGGTGCTGAGAGCTGCGAGCCTGATGCAGCGAGTGTTTACAAGCGTGTATTCCCGTGAAGGAGCTCTAGATGGAAACTGTTGTTTTGGGTTTACCTTATGATTATAGTTGTTGCACGTCTGCCGGTTCCCGCCTCTCAATGAGCGCATTTGAGCTACTTGTACATTAAGGTAGAGTACAAAACATAAACCTACTGCCAGCTAATGTTTCGGAAGTGTGTACACTGGTGGTGGATGAGAATTGTGAACATTATGAGTTTACTTGCTTCATTCGCACGTCAAATTTGCTTCATTCGCGCATCACGTTTATTGTGAATTGAATTTAGATTCACGTCATGGGCAGGGCTTCTGTCTGCCTGGTGACTAGCTTCATTGCGAAATGGCTAACATGGATTTTATTGAGAGAGTAGCTGTGCTCTATGTGCTTAAGGAAGACTGAAAAACAGCGTGGATTCATTCGGCGCCATGTCTGAGTCCGCTAGATCCTTTCAGAGGTGCACCCAGCTCTGTGAGTTCATCAACTCCTTGAGAAACTGTACTTGGATGGAGGCTTTCAGCAGTGCTTCAGACTGAGCCCAGCCCTGTTTGATGAACTATTGTCCAGTGTCAGCAAGAGGATTTCCCTTTGGGACACCAACAACAGGCGCTACGTCATAATCATGCCCCCACAAAAGCAAGCTCCTGATTGGTTAATGCGGTGAGCTACTTTATTTGTGCAAATCGCATCATTCGCACGAAACATGCCACAAGATGTCTATTTGCATTGACTTAACATGTAAATCCCTCAGGCTTGACGCTTCATCCGCGTCTGGTGTGAACGCAGCTTTATGAAGATACTGAGAAGCCTTGAGGTCTGCTAATGTGCATTTGTTTGAACTGAAAAATGTAGATGTAAAAAAAAAGAAAAACTCACCTGACTGATTGGCTGAGGGATGTTGGGCGGATGTTTTGTGTCCAGAATGGGTGCATCTGTTTCTCCATTGGTCTGTACAATCTCTGCTGGGCCGTTGGTGGCGCTTTTCTCCATGATAGGCATTCGCTCTAGTAATGCAGGTCTACATGGGGGAACAGAAAGAGTGAGGATGAGAAAACCAAAGCTAGGAGTGAACCAAAAATAGTCGAAAACGGTAGCACAAGTAGGTCAGCTCTTACCTCATGTGATCATATTTTTTGAAAAGTGCGTTATATTCCACAGCTCTCTGCTGTAGCTCCACATCTATGCTGCTGCCATATATCGAGACCACTTTCTTGATTCGACTACAGGGCAAATGAAAATAAATAGAAGATCAGGACCTCATCCACTCGGGGACTCAAACTCATTTCAGGGAAGTATATCCTCATATTTGTATCAGAAGAGATGTGCTTACTTCACACTGCTGAAACGGGTCGACAGCTTCATGATAGCAGTTAGAGAATAACCTCTCGTTACAGGGGCGGACAAGTTAGAAACCAGGAGACCTTCTAAGACATCCAGAACCTCATCTTCAGAAACCTGTTAAGACGAGAAAGCAAAACAGTATGATGGTTCTGAAAAAGGGGATTTATATTGCAAAATATAAAATAGATATTTGTCTTGTTTCTAGTCCACATGTCTAAACATTCTTAAAATCAAGAAGCCCTTTCTGTACAAGTAAAAATTATTATCTAGTAAGACAAAATTAAGTGAGTTTTTACTTAAAGGTGCAGAGTGTGTAAGCGTCAGCAGATCTTGAAAATAAAGTGTTTGAGATTGAACTTTAGATCTGAGACTTAAAACCAAGTATGAATGATTCAGTATGTACATTTAATAATTTTAAAGAGGTTTATATGTATTAGTTAGATTATAAACCTTACCATTTCATGAGTGAGTGCATATTCTATGCTTCCGAACGGCTGTATTTAAATTTCTGTTGTGTTTCGTCTGATGCAAACAGCCAAATTGCTCATCACTGCTATTAATAACCACCTCATGTGGAACTCTGATTCTGCGTCTCATTTCAGAGTCTGTTACTGTCCACCGGAGGTTGCATTTCATTCACGAGCTCTGTTTTCAACAAGGCAGCCTGATGTGCTAAAATATAATTGGCTAAAGTGGCAGTGGGCGGGTTAAAAGAAAAACAGTGTTCCAGCACATAACTCGCATTTTCAAAGCAGAATATCTGACTTCAGCACTGTTTTTCAGATAAACAAGAATGTTCACGTTTCTTAAATATCTGCAAACATATTTAGGCATTTATATGGTTTAGAAGAGTCAAGCACCTTTAAATAAAGCCAAATAATTAGCCAGTGGAGTAAGCAAATTAATCTTTAAAAAATTATATATATATATATATATATATATATATATATATATATATATATATATATATATACCCATATATTTGCATACTTCACTAGCAAATTGCTTTGCTTGTTTTAAGGTAAATTAAAAAATTAACAATTAAAAATAACTTGTATAGAAAATTTATTTATTTAGTTATGTTTAAAAGCTATATCAGCAGCATTGGCTATATTGATGGCAACATTGATAAAAAATATTCAATAAATAATTTACAAAAATAGGAGTTTAAAAAATCAGCAACAAAAGAATTCAGATAACAACAATGCTGATAAAAAAAAGACAAAAGATCTATCAATTTAGTCAGTGATAAATATTTTAAAGTTCCTCTAAGAGAAAAAATTTCCCTTAAAATAATTTCTGAATGAAACCACTAACATAGTCTAAAAGTATACATTCTGTTGAAATGTATATTCTTATAATAGGTTTCAATTCCGGTTTCAATAAATATGAGTGGGTAGGTCTTTTTTTATTCTACATCTTATATGTAAACAACCAAGTTGTGTAAATTATTAAAATGCAATTTTTTTTTCTATTTTGCACATCAACGAATTAACTTTATAATTTGTTGGTTGTACATTCATCCCATTACGTGTCATTAATGTACAGATTTAGGGTGTAATCACACTAGGCTATCCAAACTGTTCCTGGGCGCGTTTGACCCCCATTTCCTGGTTTGTTTGACAAGTGTGAGTGCTCTTCAATTGGCCGGTGCTGGCCTGGTTGCAAGAGGTGTGCCAGAGTAAATTTTCTTTCTTTTTTTTTTCTTAAACTCTACTATTTTTTATATATATATATATTATATTAATGTTAAGCACCTTGGGTCTGAGAGTAACGCAATTTCGATTCTCTGTATGTCTTGTACATGTGGCTGAATTGACAATAAAGCTGACTTTGACTTTGAGAGTGTGGTTGGGTTGGGCTTTGGCATTGTACGCTTGTAGTGTGAGTGCAAAGGGCACCTGAGCGAGAAACATAAGAAGCGACGTCACTTTTAAGGGACTGTTTTATATGGATTCATTACTTTTCAATGAATGCAAACTCACAGTTTATCAAAGATATAAACCCCTCGCTGCACATCAACTGCCACCTTCAGCAAACCTCCTAATACGTGCTACACGATGGCTTTTCGTGAAAATTTACGAGCATCAAAGGTGGTGGATCTGTTCAGCAAAAGATTTGACTGCGTGTTCAATATAAAATAAAATAATACAAAACAATATAACTCAATCAATCTCCATACAGTCTAACAACACAACAGTCGCATGACGCAAGCATGCTCGGCCGGTAAAACTGCATTGTGAGTGCGGGCCGAGGGGGAGAGGGGAGGGGGACAATCGCACCCAAGCATGGTTCAAGGCAACCGTGCCTAGTTTGAGTTCACCCTTAAAAGCAGGTTTGACATCAGACTTAACCTTAATTTTCAAGTCAAAGTCAAAGTCAGCTTTATTGTCAATTCAGCCACATGTGCAAGACATATAGAGAATCGAAATTGCGGTACTCTCAGACCCAAGGTGCTTAACATTAATATAAAATATATATATAAAAAATAGTAGAGTTTAAGAAAAAGAAAATTTACAGTATAATTTTGATTTTTATTCTGAAAACAAGACAATATTTTAAAAAAGTTTTGATATCTGTATTAGAAACAAGACAAATGTAAATAAGATGTGCACATTGCATACATATTGAAAGGGCTTTGAGGAAATGTACCTGAATAGGTTCCTCTTCCTCACACTGGCCTGAGACCAACAGATCTCCATACTCCCCTATGCACCAGGATGCCACCTGTACTAGAGGTTGCTATATGAAGAAAGTGTAAGTTAGTTCACAAAGACATAATGCTTTTATTCTGTCATCTAAATGTCATTCCAATCAACCTCTGCATGGGGTCTGAAGCTTTCAAGCTAAAACAAAAAATAGTATACATTCCACAGTGTTGAAAACACAAAGCTATGGTATGACAGGAGACCTGGAATGTAGGCACACAAGTTGCGCAAAACAGTTCATCATCCTACGTTATTGTCTTAAAGCGGTTTAAGCTTATCTCAGCTTTGTCACCATTTTCTTACATACCACAATGTAAAGGAGCAAAATCAACATTGTTGTCTGACAAGAGACATGGTGGCTCATTGATTAGCACTGACACCTCACAGCAACAAGGGACAGCTGGCATTTCTGTCTGAAGTTTGCATGTTCTCCTTGTGTTGGCGTGGGTTTCCTCCAGGAGCTGCGGCTACTCCCACAGTCCAAAGACATGCGCTATAGGTGAACTGAAGAAACTAAGTAGGCCGAAGTGTAAGAGTGTGTGTGTGTGTGTGTGTGTGTGTGTGTGTGAGAACAAAGAGCTTAGAATGAACAAAAAGCGACACTCAATAGAACGTACCAAGAACAGCAGCGCCCAGCAACAGCCCCGCAATCTGCCATTTTTTATTGAAAGCGATCAGCTGCCCGTTGGATCTTACTGCTGTCGGGATGGCGAGCAGCTGCTTTGTTTATTATTCATTTATTTAAAAAGCGCATTAAAGTTGAGACACAACCCGAAAGACGACAGAACAACACTTACTATGACAATCATCAGCACTTTTAATAGTTTATTTATAGACTTAAAATATGCTATTGTTCTATTGGAATTTTCATTCCAAAATTGCCACCTCGCCATCTTGTGGCTGTTTCCCAAATTGCACTATAGTGTCACCTCTTGTTGATTCTATGCTCTTTGGTGTGAATGAGTGTATATGGGTGTTTCCAAATACAGGGTTGTGGCTGGAAGGGCATCTGCTGCGTAAAACATTTGCCAGAATAGTTGGCGGATCATTCTGAGAAATAAGAGACCAAGCCGAAGGAAAATTAATGAATGAAACTGCTTGAGGAAACCAATTGAGGCCAAGCACTTGGGTTTTGAAACCAAATGGTTCGAGTACTGTGAACTTATACATGTATATTAAGTCATATACACGTATACCATTTGTGTTTGAGTATTAGTAACATTTTAAGTTCAGTTAATAGAACGAATTAAGTCCAAACAACTACATGGTTACTCAAATGGTTTGGTACTGCTTATAAATCAAGTTAACACAAAAGTATTAATTAATTAATTCATTAACTCATTCGGTTTGATTTCTGCTTAATATAATCAGTTAACGAGTTACCATAAATCCTTTTCATTAGGTCAAAGTAACTTTAAATAAGTTGAACTTACAACTTTTGTTTAATATAGTGATTTTTCCACTGTTGGGTTTTACGGTGTAATAATAAATACCTCCTTGAGACTAACAATTCGAATGGATTTGCAACAATATGCTAAGGTTTCATTCGTTATAAATTTACTCCAGCATGAAAGCTGATTCTGACCTGGGAGATGTCGTCCAGGAGGGCTTTGTAGAGTCTCTGTACAGTGTACGCATGCATCTCTACGCTGTTTGTGATGAGCTGAATGAGGTTGGGCACAGAGTCGTCCCGAACGTAACTCCCTGCCTGTGAAACAAGATACAACAAAACACATGCATCAGATAGCATTTCAATCAACATTTCCATCAAAATAATGCTACCTTTGTGCATTGCAGCTTCAGAAAACAAGGCTCATACAATTCAGTAGTCTTAAAACAGAAACTGCTCACTTCAGAGGTAAGTGTTCACAACATATCTGCCAATCAATCAGAATAATAATTAAAAAAAAGACTGATGTAAATTATTGTGGTTGTTAAACTGTCCTCAGAACTCATTTTGTTGTGTTCGTGGGCTGCTTATGTCATCATTTGGCTCAAGTTAGCAAAAATGCAAACTGGTTTTGCAAGAGGTCTGCCAACTACTGGCTTCAGCACCAATTTAGGTGAAAAAATGTATTATATGACAAACAAAAAGATTAGAAAAAGCTGTTGTCAAATTATAGGATCTAAAATCTACAACCAAGATCAAGTCAACAGCATCTATTAAAAACATTGTTTATTCTAATGTGTGCTTTGAAAAGACTTCAGGTGATCAACTAAAATGATCATTAATGTTATCTAGTCCAACAAAAAGTGGAAATTTAAGCAGAATAAAAAAAGGGAAGAAAATAAATGTATTGTTTACCGTGGTCAGAACCCTCATAATGGTGTCTATGTGCCATCTTTTGGAAGGCGCATACCTGCAACAAACAATCATTAGTGACATCAGCAAACCAAATAAACACTTGAGATGCTTTCACACCTGGTCCTCTTTTGGTGCACACCTGAGTGTGATTGCTTCAATCAGGGTTTCTTCAGGCTTCACCAAGTCAAATTTAGGACTTTAAGACCTTTTTGAAGACCATTATGAATGAAATTTCAGAATTATATGGTGCTAAACACTAAGGATTGTTTCTAATGGCCAGTGGAAAAGATTTTTTACTAGCCCCATTCAAAATTAAAAAATTTCAAGTTATGTCTTAGCCACATTTCCTAAATAACGTGTCAAAGCAAGCAAACTAGGTATACAGTGATCCCAAATCCATCAATTTCCCCATCCTGGCTGTTCTTTCTATGAATGAATGATGGAGAAGCACTCTCCATGCGTGTTTCCTTGTCGGTTAGTAAGTATATTTCATTGCACAACAATTAATCTATCAGGCTTTTTGGCTAAAAAGGAGAAATGACGGTTTAATTAGTTATTAATAGATTATATTTGTAAATGTCACTTATCCTGCTGTGCATAAACTAAGCTGTTGAATGGTCGGCGTATGAGGCGGCTAGGCTAACCTAGCTTCAATTTTGATTCAGTTAATTTCTAATTGTTGCCTAATATGTCATGAATAAACCCCTGTAATGCATACTGCAGTCCTCCTTTGTCTGGCTTTCTCGGATATCTCACCTGTTCGCCAAAAATGCCTAATTATATCCCTGGGAACGTCTGGCACCGTCGCATACACGTTGTGAAAGATGTTGCAGGCATGAAAGCTTGACAGGCGTAGCAATAGTAACTAAGGAGGGCGGGGCTTAGCGAAGGGTCAATTACGAGCTGTTTAAAATTAAGACCTACAACATCATATTTCAGTGCGTTTAAGACTAAATTTAAGACCCTGCAGAAACCCTGTTCAATTCCCACCTGCCCAAATGAACAGCATAATGTACTCCAGAACAAATCAATCAAACTATATGAGGAAGGCGTGAAAGCACCCTAAAATATTAAAACATTAAAAATACAAAAAGCATTAGCCCATATAAAAACCCAACTTTCAGGGCTTTCACATTTGTAGTTCGCTTCATTTGGTTCGGACCAAGGGCAATAAATGATACATTGTTGCATTTTCTGCCGTCTTTGGGTCCTTTTCACACCACACGTCTGGCTTTGGTCCGAACCAGTTGAAACGAACCAAAATGCAGTCATCTGACAAAATCCACATCACTCATTGTCCAGATGTTGTTGAACATATTTCCTAAACTGCTTATTGATTAGTCAGAATTCACGTGCGAAAAATTGCCAATGAACTCCCGCAGGTAAACAAAACCGACAGACACAAAATGTCGGTTTTACTCTGTAGGGACGACTGCGCTGATTGATTGTATCCCTGCTTTAGACAAATTATACATTGAGAATGAAGCGCGGCTGAAAACATTGTTTTAATGCATCGCTCGTCACTTCAGGAGGCGATGTGAATTAATTTAGCTAAACTGCAACATGGTCATCTTGCGGAAATATTACCAACGATCCATCAGGTAATGTTTTCCCCCCCTCTCTCTCTCTGTTGGTAAAGCGCAGTCAACAAATATTTTTTCTCCATATCCCATAATGCACAGAGCATCGGCCTACGGCAGCTGGATTGGTCCAAAAGGCGCAGTACTTTTTGTTGTTGGATCTGTTTTAGTACGAATCATATTCTCACAACAAACGAACCGCTCCAGGGTTAGTTTGAAAGCGTACCGAGACCACCTCTTCAAGCAGGTCTCGGTACGCTTATTTGGTCTGCTTTTGGTGCGCACTCGAGTACGATTGCTGCATTCTCACCAGCCCAAACGAACTCTAGTGCGATTCAATCGAACTACATAAGGCAGGTGTAAAAGCACCCTTAAACTCCTTTTAGTGCTGTCAGATATAAAAGTGTCAACAGAATCATCTTCTGCCGATGGATCACTCATTTTATCATCACACAGCCACTTCACAACTCACTCAAACAACTCAGCTAAAAAACCCTCTTTGTTCTTCAAGGATTTGCTTATAGCATTTGATCTGATTTTTTTCTGCTAGGCTTTTACAGTTTTAAAATCTCAACAGAAGCTACAAGGACATGCAAAAAGAGCCACTTGATATAGAAATCCTTGGCTCTTCCTCTTATGATTTCTTCACTAAACAGCCTTACTTCTCAGCAGCCAGGAAGATCCCCGATGCGCAGTCCGCTTTGAACTCGGGGTCACAGGAGTCCAGGAAATACAGAAGCTCCTTCATCATGCCCCGGATGTTGTTGCCATTGACGAGGGCAAAGCTCAGCTCCATTGCACGCCTGTTGAAGGACACATGTTAGGAGGAGGATGTCGCGGCATGCATAAATATCCATAGAGTGCACATAAATTACCTTTTAATGGACACGTCAAGGTCTTTTAAGCAGTCCACGATAGTGCTTCGATGTCTCTGCACAGCATTGTGGTCTGTCTGAACCGTCTTCAGTAGAGATGTCAATGCCACATATCTGATAAAAAAATAGTAATACATGTAAAACCCCTGTCATTTAGACTATCAAGAAAGCACGTGAAATCAATTAGTTTATTTCACAGCGAGGAGCCGGTCACACAGAAAGCATCTTTGTGGTTAAAAACGTGAGATAGCTCTCAGGAATGGTTGAAAGAAGCACCAGAAGCTTGCAATGTCTTTTATGCCTCTAAATACTTCTGATTGGCCTACTGCTTTGGAAATGATATTTTTAAGTGTCTGTTCACTCTTCAGCAGTTATACCTCCGAGCAGTGTATATATTTATATATATATATATATATATATATATATATATATATATATATAAATTATATAATTGTTTTTACGCAAAATTGTCTTCAACTTTCTGGGAATTACCACCACAAAATCAGTCCTTTTTAAAATCACAAAATAAATTACAAAAAAACGGAAAAAAAATTCACAAAAATTTGTGAAAAACTAGGGAGTCTGTCAAGTGCGAAGTGCTTCAAAAAATAATGCAAGACATTGCAAAAAGGCCATCCGTCAAACATGTTTACATATTTTTTAAAAAATAATAATAAAAAATAAATAAATAAATTCTTAAGAAAAGTAGTGGATTGGAATAAAAAAAGCGTTCTGTGTGAATTATCCTTACAGCTATAGTCAGAAACAATGAGGTCATCATTTAAAACTCAGTCGATGGATCACTCAAAGTCTTCATCATTCTATCTCTTCATCATCAAACCTGAATGTCACAATTGATCACAGCCAAAACACATACCTGATGTTTTTGTCATTGTTGAGAAGAAAACGTCCTAGAATGTTAATTGCTAAAACCTGCAATAAAGCAAGCAAAAGCATTTTCATCCACTTTCACATTTCAATCCCACTCAGATGTTGAACAGCATGACTGATGTAACACTCACCCTCAGACCACTCTCTGATTTGATGTCCATAATAGTAAGAACCGTTTCATAGAGGATAGCATTGCCTACATTTTTACTCGTCTCTGTATTCGTTGCAACCTATTGGAACATTAATTAATGGGAAATTTTCAAAAAAAAGAACATTACAAAACGTACTGTTCTATAAAGTAGATTAACTGCTTACCTGTGCAAGAATGTCATTCATAGCTTCACTAGAGTCATCGTCCCCCTTTCCCAGAATTCTCAGTAGCCTCAATATCCGCACCTTAAAAATGCCAAGAGACACAGTGTGGCCCAGAGGAGCTCATCAGATTGCTTTAGGGTATAAAGAACAGGTATCACCTCATATGGGAACGATGGATTACAAACTTGTGGCCCACTCTAAAAATCAATGTTGTGCATTTGATCAAATAAATGACATGTGATACATTAGATCAGTGTTTCCCAACTCCGTTCCCGAAGGCACACCAACAGTACACATTTTCAACCTCTCCCTAACCAAACACACCTGAACCATCTCATCAGAACACCAGAAGAAACTCCAAAACCTAAAATGAATGGGTTTAAATTAATGTGCTTTTAAAAGTTAATAAACAAAAGCACTGTTCTTAAAAAGTAAAAAGAAAACGCATATAAATGTAAAATATTATCATAAAAACCTGGAAATGTCTCTTGGGCCTCATAAATATAGGCCATTTTCAAATTTTAAAATTTATCAAAAACATATTATATGTGAATATGATGTATTCATATATAAACTCTTTTTGATAAATTTTGATATTTGAAAATAGGTTGCATTTATATGACATTTTTTGCAAACTTTGAAATCTAAACATCAACGTGTATTTTAAATATTTGAATTAGATTTACATATTTAAATTAGAAATTAGATCTGCTTACTGTGTGTTAGAGTAGGCTTTGTGTGCCAGAAAAGCAGATGATTAAACTATAGCTGTCAACATTGGGATATATAAATACAGGATATGCCCCCAGCAACCGTTACAAATATGGAGAGGAAATTAGCTTTAAATGATAGAATACATTAGAAAAATGAAAATAAAAGCCTTTTAAAATCAATTTACTGATCACAACGGTGTTAGCATATGCGTTAAAAGGTTAAAAGAGTGTTCATTTTTCTACTTTTATTATTCAGCGATTCCTCTACGTACCCCTAGAAGGAATCCTGCGTACCACAGTTTGAGAACCACTGCATTAGATAATGTAATTCACACTGATGGCTACGTTAAAGATGTTGTAGGAGACTTTTATTTATTGAATAGTCTGTTATGAAAATCCCAGTTTCATAAGAGACTTTGCTAAAATCGTCATGCATCTTTAAAAGTTTTCAGTTTTAGACAAGACTTTCTGCTTGTTGGTCATTAAGCACCTTGTTTACAGGCCAGTCCATAGATGCAAAGCATAAATAGCACCGTCTCTGCTTCCTAAGCAATTTTTAATTTGTCATGGGAGAGTGCATTTTTTGCTGCTACTGCAAAATTACCATCAGACTAAATGGTATTTTTGTAGCACCTGGTTTTAGAAAAATCAGGGAGTAGGGCTGCACGGCATTGCAATGTTTAGTTTTTCTTCGATACACATTTTAATATGAATACAAATTTCACCAGATGAATTGAATAGCTCTTCTTGGAAAGAACTCATAATTTTAGATCGATTGGGTTGTAGGGCTGGGCATCTGCATAAAATAATATACAAATTACAAGATAGTTTAATACTGTAGAGGTCTGCATTCATACATTTCCGAATAAAACGTGGTAGAAAACTCTGGTGTAAAACAAAACGGGAGCTGGAGGTCTAAGAATATAGCACTCCTGAGTGCCAACGTTATTTCAGAACAGCATATTATCTTATTGAGCACGGTTACAGCCAGTGCTCAAGACTGTTAAGCCTTGTTTATACTTCTGCACTGAGTGAACGGCGTGACCCACGGTGCATGCCTACAGTGTAGCTGTGCATTTATACTTCTGCGCGCTGTTTGTGTTGCTCTGCAATAACACTTCCAAAACAAACTTATGTTCCTCTGTGTCGTGTTTCTTCGATGGTGTTCTGTTTGTTCTGAACGCTACCTTCTTGTAGAAGTAGCTCAAACTCGCTCACTTTGAGGTGGAACCGGCGGATGTGCAACAACGTTAATCATAATGTAAAAACTGTCCACCTGGAGCTCCTTCACGGGACTCGACACTTGTAAACACTCCCTCCAACAGGTTTGCGTGGCTCTTACTCGTCAGCGCTACCAATCACAGAGCTTGCGCTATGCAGCGTTGCGGTGTGTAGTTACATTTTTTGAGAGCGTCAGTGATAGCCATGGCAAGGGCTATGCGACCATGCGGAGCATCCGCTTGATGCAAAAGTATAAATCAGCCTTTATAAATTATGAATGTATGACCAGTGCATTCTGGTAATGCTTTATATAAAGAAAATGTATTAAATTTTTCCGCAGTTTGTGTGCGCATCATCTGCATCTGCTCAGAACGGGCTTTACCAACATGGCAGAGCAAAGTGAATATGCGCTGTCCTTCAGCTTGCATTATAAAATGGTTAGTTTACTGTTTGGAATCAGGAAAGTCTGATGTATGAGAGTCTTTTTAATGCGTCATTGAAGCAAATGGAAAAAAAACTACCCTTCTGGATGTGATAATACCTCAAAGTTTTACCCTTTAGCAGTCACAAGACTGGAACCTCAGGTGTAATGTGGCACACATATCTCATCACAAAGGGGCAAACAAACCTGACATTTAGCCTACAATCCTTGCACAACCTTCACTTTTATCTGTTACCCCTCTCTTTTGGTAGTACCCAATTTAAACATGAGATTTTGGAATCCAGATTTAAATTCAGTGGGAACGGTCAGGTAGAAAACGGGGCAGGCAGCAGGTAAACAAAGGCTGAATATACGGCACGAGCGGTCGGGAGAAGAATAAAAATTAGTCCCGCGCAGACCTCTACTGTAGAGCAACAGTATTGAGGTGCAGAAATTGAACAATAAAAACAAATCACTATAGTCATCAGTGTACAAATAATTAAATACAATTAATCATTGTAAAGATACAAATGTTAAAAAAAAAACTGTACAAAAGCACGCACATCTCTCTTAATTGGGTTATCAGCCAAAACCGCAAAAAGTGCAATTAAATGTAAATCAAAGGCGGCAACACCAAGGCTCCAAAAATACAAATTTATTAAATTAAAAAGGCTGACACAGAGCATGTTACGTTTCGAGCCGCCCGGCTCTTCATCAGGTGGCTCGAAATGTAACACGCTCTGTGTCAGCCTTTTTAATTTAATAAATTTGTATTTTTAGACCCTTGGTGTTGCCGCCTTTGATTTACATTTAAAGATACAAATGTTACCATTTTCTTGTAAACTAATGCTTTAAACTCTCGAATACAGTTAAAAATTCATGCAAATGAAATTTGCTGGTTAAACTTTGCCGTGACTTCACAAACCATGTGTTCTGAACTGTGTATCGCTGATGAGTGATCTATTTATTCTGCAGCCCTAACTGGGAGTGTTTAAAGTCTGTATGAATTCAAAATCTACAATCTTTATTTTGCTAGTGCACATTGTTATTCATTTAGTGAAAAATTAATCTACAGAAAAAAAAAAAAAAGGTTTTGCCTTGTTTTAAATCACAATCTGATCATTTGTTTCCGCATTTAGAGTAGCGGTGCTTCTGTGGTCTTAACAAAACTGTTAGTTTGCTACAAGGGAATGTGCAAAAGCCCTACCCCTACTCAATATTCCAATTTAGATGAAAGTACATCATACTTTAACCAAATTAAAGTCAAAGACTGTTGTTTCAATATGTTGAAGAAATTTTCATAACACTAACATCATCCAATGCACTTTTATGCACCACTGACAGAAAACGATGCGTCTATACCTGCAGGAAAGGGTCACTGATGCCGGACACATCATGCTCAGGAGAGTAGCCTGACATGATCAGGTTCTTCAGGATTCGCACAAGTTGTGGAACCAGCTAAAAAGATACATAATTGGGAGAAAAGAATGATAGAGCAATAATGAGCAAGGTCACAGCAGGGTCACTGAGGTCTTAAGAGGACAGCACAAAAAAAGGGGTCAGTAAGAGTCAATACACATAGGCACCCTGAGTTGATCATCTTCCAATAGATTGGTTTCACTACACAGCTGATTTGGTATTTAAGACATGGATATCATCATGTCAGCGTTTGCTATAATTGTTTGTGTGTTTATAACCAGAATTCTTGTTAATTTAGCAAATGTCTTCATTTGTACCCCCCACAATACTGTACATATTGGAAAAACCACAACCCAATAGTGACCGTATGAAAGGAGAACCATTAAAAATTAATCTAAAGGTGAACGCAGGACAGGTGAGAATGCATATGAGGTCTACATAATCCTGTATAATCAAAAGAAAACACTTAAATGACAACAATTGCAAAATAAACAGTACGTCAAAACCAAAAAAAAAAAGAAACTGGACTAGATCTACAGTGATCATGATGATGCGGTTGTTTTGTTTTCTTTAAGAGCATGCACCAGCTATGAAACCAGAATGTCCTCTTACCTTTTCATTCTAACACAATGCAGGAATTGTAACAAAGACAAATGACAGAAAAAATATGAAGTAGATGTTAGGGGGGAATCGGAAAATAGAGTCACTTTTCAGAGAAGAGCTTAACATTATGCTACGGTTATGAGCATGAGAGGTGGGCGTGCTGGCACAGTAGATCAGGCTGGGGGTGGGAAGAGCTGAAGCAGATATACAGAGAGTGAGAGAACCTGTATTCATCTCCCAGTGAGATAAACACACCTGCAGCTAAATCCAGGACAAGCATCCAGATTTCAGTAAGGACTACAGTCTCATTTGAGTAGTCATGTCAGTGCTATTGGCAACAGATATGAGCGTTTTTGTCTCAGATTGGCTGATGTGGTGCTTAAACGCAGTTTTAGAGGTGACTGCTGAAGGTCAAGGACACTGGCTTACGTACCTTCCTAAAGTGCGAGAGCATGTCAGGACTTCGCTCACACATTTCAGTGAGCAGAACAACAGATGTGTGGAGAACTCCTGCAAAAAAACAGGACAAAACATTGATTTAAACAGTTAGCTAACCTATGAAACTGATATTTTGCTGTTGTTGCTAACTCTGAAAGACTGAATAAAATTGAAATTAGAAATAATGGAATGATGAAAAAAGACATTTAAAATTAGGTGTCAAGCTATTATTCTTATGCTGTGTTCACACCAGACGCGGAACGCGCGGATAAATCGTGCTATTCGCGCGTAAATTGCCGCGTGAACATTTGAGGTTACTCGTTTCATTCGCGTGTCAAATTAACTTTAGAACAGACGTGGATTCGCGTGATGGGCAGGGCTTCTGTCTGCCAGGTGACTGTAGCTTCGTTGCTAAAAGGCTAACATAGATTTTATGAAGAAAATAACAGTGTTTATGCACTTTATGAAGGCTGAAAAACAGCGTTGATACGTTTAGGACCGTGTCTGAGTCCACTACATGCTTTCAGAGGTGCATCCAGCTCTGTGAGCTCATAAACTCCGCCAGAAACTGAACCTGGATCACGGAGGCTTTGAACGGTGCTTCTGACTAAGTTAAGCCCAGTTTGATGACTTGTTGTCTGTGTCGCCTGGAGGATTTCCCCTGGGACACCATCAACAGGTTCTACGTCACTATCACGCCCCCACAAGAGCAAGCTTCTGATTGGTTAACGCGGCGCGAATGTTCGCTGAAGTTCAGATTTTCGAACTCAAGAGATTCGCGGGGAAACGCTCGTTAAGCGCGTCAAACGCGCAAAACGCTCAATTCGTCCCGCGCCATTCACGCAATTTGCATCATTCACGCCGCGCCATTCGCGCCGCAGGATGTCTATTCGCACGTTTGCATTGACTTAACATGTAAATCACACGCACTTGACGCGCGTTCCGCGTCTGGTGTGAACGCAGCATTACAAGTCAAGTTATAAAGCTCTTACAACTGGGACCCACGACAAGACTTTTGTCAGATAGTATATATATATATATATATATATATATATATATATATATATATATACATAAAAAGTTGGCAGCATCCACTCGCACCAAAATATTCAAACCTCCATGTTTACTTAATTGTAATAACGCAAATAAACAAAAATGTGTGATTTAAATTTTTTTTCGCATCTTTCTTTTGTTTTCCCGTAAAACTACAGGTACTAAAGTACAATTATCACTATTACTTTACCTACTGCTTTGACATTTAGCTCAATAAACTCCTTACTTGCTGCTTATTAATAGTAATTAAGATAGTAATTGGGTTTAAGTAGTGGACAGGATTAGGGACGTAGAATAAGACCATGCATTATATGTACTTTATGAATACGAACAAACAGCCTGTTAATAGTAGGAACTTAAAAGTGTTCATTTTTCTTCTTATATAGAAGACATCAATGAAAATGTACCAAATCTTATGCATAACACTTAATTTTCAAAGACTAGAATAGAGACCTATAGGAAAGATTGAATAACGCAGCTCTCACCATGATTTTTCTCGCTGAGCAGGTTTTTTGTTGCTGGAAGGAACATCTCCATCAGCTCTGGGACCTTGCGGATGACGTGAACTGCACACAGTGCAGCCTGAGGGCGAAGCGCTCATGTCAAAACGATTCAAACATTCAGAGCTCAACATACAACTGGACATGCAGTCCACGTTCAGCTGGTGAAATACCTTTTTCCTCAGGTAAGAATTTGATGTCTTGAGGAGTTTCTCCACCTCTCCAGCTAAGTCACGGCACATTTCGGATGAGCCCATGCAGCCCAAAGTGCACAGGGCCAGTCCCTGCACATACTGTGTACTGTGATTCAAGTCACTGCAGAGAGAAGAAACGTGTTCAGAATAAATAAAAACATCTACAATCACTTTATTCGAAAGACATCATCTCTGTTCTAATGGAAATAAAAATGGGTCATAGAGGACAGGAGGAAAAAAATGAATGTCCATAAATAAGACAGCAAAATTATTCAACACTATGCTATTTTAGTCCAAACTCATGTAACAAAGCAACTAAAGTCATTAATTATTAATGAGCTACCTACTACTATGGATGACCAGGAGTGCCAGTTAGAAATAAAGCGAAGAATCAAAGTAACAATTCAATAACTGAAGCATAAAAACGTATATTTATTAGGCTTGGGGCGGTAATACGGTATACCGCGGGATCTAAAAATAGCAACAATGTCAGTTTTATTACCATTATACTGTCATAAAAAACAGTGCACTTAAACAGGAGACGCGTATTAAATAATTAATATTATTTATTTAATGCCTACAAATGCGTATGCATGATTGTCATCATGGGACAGTGTGGAGGAGAGAGAGAGAGGGGAGGTAAGATGGCGAGACCAATTAACCTGCAGTTTGGCAGTGTTTCCGGTTTCGACCGAACGAGAAGGGAGATGTGGTAAATACGAACTAGAGGTCTGTTTGTGTGTGTGTGTGTGTGTGTGTGTATATGAGAGATAGCGTGATAATGCGTGTCGCTTGGTGCTCTCTCTCTATGTGTGTGTGAGATCGAGAGAGAGAACGTGGTGCTGTGCATCGCTTGGTGGTCTCTCACTCTATGTGTGTGTGTGTGTGTGTGTGTTGTCTGAGCCTTATGTCATTTTTTTTTTTTATTATGCACAGTAATACAGGATACCGAGGTAAAATAGGGAGGAGGTTTGACGGTATCAGAATTTGGATACCGCCCAAGCTTAATATATTTAAATTGTGTTTTTAGACATCATTTAATAAAGCAATAAAACAATGCATTTAAAAATCCTTTTTAAAATGTATAAATGGACAATTTTATAAAAAAAATTTATGTTATAAAATTTGATTAATTAAACAAATAAAGTATATTTATCTGCTTAAGTGGTGACGTATGTAATACTGTTTTCGGGTCCAAGCCGCCACTCATTTGAGTTGAGAAATCATTCGTTTATGATCACGTTTTATTCCCTTCACACATTAAAAGTTAATTTTATATAAAATCATAGTGTACACAACAATCTCTAGGCTTGCTGCATAACAAATACCAACAATTTAACAATTTATAAAACAATGAATCACTTTCTGGCCATCGGATATTAGGCATGGACATATATATATTGCGCTCGTGATTTTCGAAAGTATTAAATCGCTTTGTAAACGTTTATTATTACCATTTTATGAGTCTCCCCATTCAGTTGAATAGAGCGCTTGGACCCGGAAGCCGCTTCGCGTGACGTCACACTTAACAAGCGTATAGATCATATTAAATGCATTTAAATTCTAAATTTAAATAGCTTTTTAAAAATGCATTTGAAAAATGCCTCTTGGTTCTCTTTTACCCCATACCCTCATACAGTATAATAAATGCAAAATCTTAATGGAATTTTACAGAAAACCCTTTGAAATTACAAAAAGAACTGCTGAAAGTGATAAATATTATTATATATGTTGTCTGTCCTATGATGAACCACCACAACACAAACCGCTTTGTTTTTTTGTTTAAAAGCCTGATTTAGAAAGTGTATAACTCAGGCCCTGTATGCTCCATCAAACTGCAGACTGTTTTGATTGTTACCAGCATTTGTCAGGAGACACTAGAAAAAAGAATTTAGTTTTTATCACGTAGTATGCAATAATTATGTTAGTTCAACCGAAGGGTGGGAAATCGCAACTTTTTTGCTTCTGATCTGTGACTTTTACACATTTTGTTTTGGACACCCCTCTTCCTGTTTGTCATGCAATATCTCAGTCACTGATTGGCTGATCAAGGCTCGCTGATAAAGGCTCTTTTACTTTTGCCATATGCTTTTCTTGAGTTGAAAATAAATTGAGTTTAAAGATGCCATTGGAAAGTCCACAGTTGGGAGCAACCAATCAACTCTCGCCTCAATTCGAGCTAAACCCTCTCTCGTTTGTAAATCAAATATGGACGGTCATTAGACAGAGAGAAAATTAGAAAAGCTCTTCAAGGTAAAAAAAAAAAAAAAACTGCATTCCCTTTGTTCATACAGTTTAATTCACAGAGAATGCTTGAAGTGATAAAGTATACATTAAATAAATACCAAGTAGCTTTAACTAAATGTTACTGTCAAAAGAAAAACAAAAACAAATGGTTCACACCACCCTCAATGCATGTCTAGTCAATAATGAGAGCATGAAATTCACAAGCTCCTTAAAAAAACAGAATTGTAAGTTTTTGTTCATAGTTTAATATCACATTAGATCTCCAGCAAACAATAAACAACAAGCTTTTTAGAACCGAAAATGTAAAATGATCAGCTTGAGGCACACTTAATGGAACAAAAAAAGGAGATGTGAATTAAAATGCCATCACACTCAGGAAGCAGCTCCCAATCAGTCTGCACTTTACACTCGCCACCTACAACAGTCACATTAAACTCCCACCAATCAACACAACCAGCTGTGATGGATGGAAGCGTTGAGACGAGATGAGATCATCTGCACACTCACTTCTTGATGCAGTTTGTCATTAATAGATGGACGTCCTGCCTCTCATCAAGAAGCAGCATGGCTCCCAGGTATCCTATCCTTTTATCTGTGAACTTCTGTGATGCAATCAGTTTCAGGCACTCCAGCTGAAATTGACATTTTGTCCATTAAATACTGGAAAACTCCATGCACTCCTTTTGAAGATTAAAACAATTCTGAAGTACTCTTTTTTCCTCACCTGGCCAAAGTGTGCTGGGTAGCCCAACATGTGCATATAAAGAAGCTTAGCCACATTTCTACAGCGGTATGTGTTGTCCTCTTCTCTGAAGGATGACCTGATGGCAGCACACTCTTTCTGGATCATCTCCCGCTCCTCTGCCTGGGTTCGAGCCGTCCGGATGGTCCGGATCAGCTCCCGCAGTCTGATCGGAGCTGGCATCCTCTGTAATAAAAGCACAATGTCAGCCAGTGGAGGGTCACACAAGCTGCAATATAAGTGCCACAAAGACAAATGAAGATTTATGCAGTACTGCCGTTTGCCAAAGCAACATTTGAAGTAGGGCTGAACGATAAATCACATGGGATTGTCTATAAAGACGGCTCTGCAATCAGCGGGGAATCTCCAGCACGTGTTCAAACTAAAGAAGCATTTAATACACAAAGCCACAGTTCTCTGGAAAACTACACAAAATTTTACATGCCATATGATCAAGCATTAGTCAAATCGCAAATACTCATTCTGCAATATTGACAGCTGTTTGCGTAGCTTCTCAGTGAACTACAGCCCCTAGTGGCTAATGTTACTAATGTTAAACGTGAAAGCATGAGCAATACCATACATAATAAAGTTTTTACTCAAAACTCACTTCAAAGCTTTAGTTAAGCGTTTAAAATTCAATTTAAAAAGCTTTTTATTATCAGGAAAATTGCGAGAAAAACTCGAATAAACCTTGTGTTGTAGTGGTCACGTGTTTATTAATTCCATTTGATCAAAAGAAAGCCGTTTAATCTCCTGTTTATCCTACGCTATTAATCTTATTCTGTGATGCAGAAGCGCGCTCGTTTTTTGCGATTGTTTCAGTACTACCAATTCAGCTGCCTATGAAAGAAATGACTAGGAATAATAAACGTCAGAAAATGGTCAAACTACTCGCCCTTCAAACAAGTGTGTTTCATGACTATACATAAAAAGTAGAATATACAATAAGAAAATATCAGTTTGTAATAATCAAGTAGCACAAGGAGCCACTTTTAAGATATAATAATCAACAGAACTGGGGGGGAGGTTGGGGGGGGGGGGGGGGGGGGCAATGGAATTAATGCAGTGCTTCTTGTCCGATCTGAGACCCACTTTATATCTTATATCTAGCAGGCAGTGAAGATCACAGACTTTAAGAAATCAGACCTTAAACGAGGCAATTAAATAATATAAAGATCGGAAGAGCTGAGGCTGGCTGGCTGAAATTAAAAGTCCATGTGCATATACCCTATTTACATAGAGATCAATGTGCATATTCTGAGAAAATTATCATGTTTTCTGGCCTTAGATGCATTTAAAATCATTGTATGGGACTCCAGCACAATATTAAGAGACTTTAAAACACCATATAATAAAGTTCAAATATTTGTTTAAACTTCTTACACAACACTTTGTCTATCAGCATTAATGAACAGGGTTGGGTACCAAAACC